TCCCTTAATTCCCAGTTCGCCGGCTGTTCTCGTTGCTGGCGCGTGACTTTTTTGCCTTTAGGCTTTGAGAAACCTGCTGCCGCTGCACTTGTTTCAACAACAACAAAAAAAAAAAGAAAAAAAAGAAGGGGGCAACTTCGTTGGAGTCACACCCAATGTTCAGAATAGGCAACTTTAGCAGTTCCCAAAATTATGGTGCAAAAAAGTGTGTACATTATCAGCCATAGGACCTCCTCCGTGTAAACACGGATTCGAACTGGCACCCTCAACCTCAAGAGCCGAGTCTCTTAACCACTACAGCCATAACACAGTATACAAAAGTGAATCCATGTCGGTCGTGATATTCACCCCACCCCTGCATGGCTGTAGTGTCCTTCAACTCACACCCACACACACACAACACCACACAAGGCATCCGCGACACAGCCCCCCCCCCCGCCCCCCCCCAAAAAAAAAAGCCAACTTCTGCCAAGAGCCAGCGCCTGTAATGACCGGCGCCGGTAGAGAGAATGCAGATGGTTGAATCGAAACTATGCCATCAGACATGGAGAGGGCAAAATCAAAGGGAAGAAGACTTCTGGCTCTCTCTGATGGAGAGGGCAACATCAAAGGGAAGACTTCTCTCTCTCTCTCTCTCTCTCTCTCTCTCTCTCTCTCTCTCTCTCTCTCTCTCTCTCTCTTGAAGAAGAAGAAGAAGAAGAGCATCAAGACTACTGTGTTGTTCACAAATGAAGAAATATTGAAGAAGAAGTTATTCTAGACAATTAGACATAGTCGTGGTCTCCAAACTCACTATTTTCTCTCCGCTCATCATCATCCTTCTCTCCCTTCTCCCTTCTCCCTTCTTCTCGGAATGATGCAGACATCCTTCGTAACAGTTATTCTTAACCTTAAAGTCAGTCTCCTCAAGGTTTCCTAACATAACCTTTATCTTACAAACCGCCAGTACTTGGCCCAGCTATCAGCGGTGGAAACGTTTCTACTCGGATGAATTTGACCGCTCCTGTAGTGGTCCGTACGTTTCCAAACATTGTGGCTTGTTAACGAGCACGACTTGAAGTTGAGCAAGTCCTGCTGGGTGGTGGCTTAACCCTTTTTCTCCCAACCTTAGTTTTTTCTTCAAGAGTTATTTCGTAACCACCTTCTTCATGAGAGTTCGGTTCATTCTAAGTCTCTTAGTAACCTTACCTTTTTTTTTTTTTTTTTTTTTTTAACCTTACCTTAGCAAGAGTTGGGTCCCAACTCTTGCTTCCAACACAGACACCGTTTCCCAACTCTGGAGGTCTGTGAAAGATGCGTGACCGAAAAGAAGCGAAGGGAAGCAAAGGGAACTAGATCTGCAGGTCCTGGAATGCAATGTGCTCCCACGCCATCGATGCCCAATTGTGTTTGTCCACCTGCAGATCCAGCTTACCCTCTGGACAGGCGCGGATGTAGGTGCCATGGCATGAGCGAATACCAAATCGATCCTTCGTTATCGGAACGATCGTGAATTGTTCCCAACCCATTGCATCCCAATTATGTTTGTCGACCTGCAGGTCCAGTTTAGCGCCTTCTCCTCCGGGCCAGGCTCGGAGGTAGGTCCCATGACAAGACCGAAGTCCATAAATGCTTCCGCGAATACGGACCAACGTCCACTCCTCGAAACCACCACAGCTAGCTTGAAGGTCAACAGAGGCCCCTTCTCCTCCTGGTTTGGCACTGACGAAGGTTCCATGATAGGTTCGGAGAGCGTACTTTCCTTCTGGAATGGGCCCAGGCGCCGCAGGCGGGGGACCAGGCGGAACAGCCTCCACCTCGACCATGCATTCGATGCGCCCAGCAGGTATAGTCCGGGGGCTACTGCTTTTGGTGTTGAAAACCGCAGAAGAACCCAGTCCGTCGAAGCGAAGCTGATATAGGGTAAACCTTTCACCAGCCGGCACAGTTATCTTTTCCGAAACATATTGATTTTTGTCCATTTCAAAGTCTTCCTCGTCGTGCATGCTCAGCTCGGCGAGAAGAGAGTTATGTTGGATGAACCCAGTTTCAAACTGCGACGTGAAGTCCACAAATCTCAACGAACCAACGGCTTCCGTCCTCGATCGGAACTCCTTGTTGTCTTCCCGAAGCGTTCGGATGATCTTGGCGACTGCAGATCTTCGAGAGATATGCATGCTCGTGGCCACAGTGTGCTCCGTGACGTATTCTTTGCCTGTTGTATTGTCCATCTCCAACAGAAGCTGCCAGCCGTAGCTGCCCGGCACGGAGACGGTGTAGGTGGAAGTTGTGGGAGAGCTCGTCGGTTGGGTGGAAGCCATTGAAGAGGGGTTGAATAAGGGTCCGGTGGGTGACACGTCGGGAACGAAAGAGTGAGTCAGGATTTTATTTTTTTTTGCGAGTCAGGGGTTTAACCAGCGGGCTCAACCCAGTTGGTACACCTATAAACTGTTGAAACTACAGACCTGCGGCAGCTGAGCTCGAATCCAGACAAATCTAGATGAACTGAATTGCTGCTGGATTACCTAGGGCCGCTCACCTTCACGAATGAGATCGTAAGAATGTCACCCTCTTGGGAAAAAAAGAGAGAAATTAATAGGGAGGGTTTTGGGCAGGTTAACTAATAATGTAAAGAAAAAACTGACAAGTGGTGCCTTGAGCAAAAAAGCCTGTTTTAGCTCAGCCAGACTGGAAAGATGTGGTCCCCACTATCTCGCACATTTTAATATCCACCCCGGTTCAACTCCCCCCCCCCCACCCTCCTTTCCACACACAAGTTTCCAGTTCTTCTTCTTCTTGTTCTTCTTCTTTGAAACTCTCCAGCTTGACATGTCCTTTCATACCCAGCCGCATCTGTTTTGGTTTCTCCACCCTACTAAGCACCCTCCCTGCACAACGACGAGACGACAGACAAATCGAGATAAGTACTAAATTAATATCTGATCCGTGGCTTTTTATTGCGCCAAATCAAAAAAAAAAAAAAAAAAAAAAAAAGCACCTGGAAATTGCGAATCCCCTCGGCCGGCGACCACGCTGGCCGTGACCGTGGTCGCGGGCCATGAACGACCGGGCCGGTCACGGTCTTCGCGGCCATGTGGCGGCCCAAGGAGGGCGGATAGAAGGGGGGGGCTCAGGGGTGGAAATTGGGGATTGGGGTTGTGCAAACCCGAAGGAAAAATTGAAAAAAAAAAAAACAAGGGCTTTTGGCGGGAGAAAAAAAAAAAACAAAAAAACAACAACAAGGAATATGAGCATGACTCTGCGAGAGCGATAGACAGAAATCCAAATAATTGCAAAATCACCAAGTAGGCCAGACAGTCATGTACCAAGCAGAGAGCACAATCATGCACCAAGATGCCATCCGCATATTAAGAGCAATACAATGACCTCATTCATATGTGTAAATGTCGACGCTCTCTGGCCACCCCAACACAGTACCCAATGTCGCTCCTACTGATTGGCGCCCAGCGCCCACCCTACACTACTCAGCCTATCTATAGCCAATAATCGTAGATATAATGCAGGATAATAAATAATCCGAAATAAATCATCTTAGACGAAATCTTAATCGTAGATAATCTCAATGTGAGTATCTGAGAGGGGCACACACTTGCATACCATATTTCCCATCTCTGTACCAATCTAGCCGACTACGACGACTGGTGACGAGGAAAATAAAAGAGAGAATCGTTCATCGGTCGAGACTGATTTGYTAATTGAACTGCGATCCTACATACTCATCGATAAAGTAATCCTATCTACGGTAGTTTGTCCTAGATAACCTACTCCCCAACTACTCTTGGAAATGCC